TGGAAAGAAGCCCACACTCAAGGATGGAGTGTTATGCCCCCTAAAACTCTTTCATTTTCCTTTTTAAATTTAATGCTCTCCATAGCTTATAAATGTATAAATGTTATCATACTTTTCTAGATGAAAAACAATGAGACTTACAGAAGTTGGTTAAGGTTGCAAAGCTAAAAAGTGCTAAGGTTAGGAAGTATATCCAAGCTATGTGAATCCCAGCTTAGTGTTCTTTTCATCGTGATGTACTCAATATCAAGGGCACAAATCATGTAAGTAAATTTTAAGCTCCACATTATCCCACCATCAGTCTTTTTCCAGGCACTTCTATTTCATTCAACGGTTTCCTGTATCTTTGGCCATGATTGCTCTTTTCTATTAAGTCAACCAACTTATACTCCTAGACCAAAGCCATGTTTTTTTTCTGTTTTCTTTGTCGTAGAGAAACAAAATTATTTTTTGTTTCAAACCAGTTCCCAGAAACATCTTTCCACTTCTCTGAAGCTACCCTACAGAAATTACTTAAACTACTTTCCCTGGTAACTTTGTGTAATTAATGAAAAAGCCACTGGACACTAGTTTTATTTTTTAAAAAAACAAAAAGGAAAATGGAAGAGCATATAATACAGTAGTTAAGAGCTCAGACTCTTGAGTCAGAAAGTTCTGAGATTAAATTTCAGTGCCATCACCACCACTTAGACCATGGAAAAGCCATTTAACCTTCTTAAAATCATTATCCCTATTTGTAATCTTAAAGCATTCTGTAATTAAAAGAGGTAGCCACGCAGTTTTCCATGCAATATGTGTATAAAAGCTATATGATTTGCAGAATAGACTACAAAATTTAAAAACAGAAGCCTAAGATGAACTTAGAATTTTTAAATTTCAGATTATCTTGTACCTTTGATAAGAGAATATTAATATATCTAGTTAAATAACGAACAATAATTACAGATGCTCCTCAATTTACAGTGGGGTTATGTCCTGATAAACTCATCATAAATTGAAAATATACTAAGTCGAAAAGCATTTAATACACCTAACCTACTGAACATCATATTTTAGCTTAGCTGACCTTAAACATACTCAAAATGCTTACACTGGCCTACAGCTGATCAAAATCATCTGGCATCATGGTACACTGTAGAGTGTTGGCTGTGTATGCTCATGATCACATGGCTGACCGTGAGCTGTGGCTCACTGTCGCTGCCCAGCATCACAAGGGAATACTGTACTGCATATCACTAGCTCAGTAAAAGATTAAAGTTCGAAGTATGATTTCCACAGAGTGCATATCACTTTCACACCATCATAAAGTCAAAAACTTGTTAAGTAAATCCATCTTAAATTGGGGACCACCAAATTTAATTTGAATTGCGGACTACTTTGAATAAACCACAGGTTTTTCTGGAAAAGAAATCTATTTTATACAATTCCTCTCTGAGACAAGTATAGAGAAGAAAATTTCCCAAAAAGTCAATGAAATACTAAGCTCATACATTCCTGTATTCACCAGTATAATTAATAACTAATAAAGGATTTGCTGAAAATCCCTGTCAGAGGCCCAACCACCCTTCTTCCAGAATCAGTGACAGTTCTTCATATGCTAAAGCAATGCAGCTTCCCCAAGGCAATTAATCTATTCTATCACTCCAGACAAAAGCAAAACAGAAGGAGAGAGGAAATTTCAACTGGAAAGTATTTATGTAATTGACCCAGATAACAAACTAAACTTACGCAATATGTCAAATGTCACAGTCTACACAAAAACACATATATATGCCACAGGGTAATAAGAGCCCACACAAGCCAAGATGAAATCTCCACCCTGAGTACAGTACATATCTTTAAATCCCTGTTGAGAAAAGATGCATAAGGGAAGCTAAAAGGTTCTTTCATAAACTTAGAGGAAAAAATTTAAACCTATCAAAATATCTTGCAGATTAAAAGTAATTACCATTGTGAAAAGTGATAAGGAGTTTTTCCTTTCAAAATATCTAAAACACCTGGGTTTCCTAACTGGCTAGAGAATTCTAGTATATGTCTACTTTTTTTCTGATCACTTTCAAAATGTGTAAGACTTGCTCTTTCAAAATCTCAAACTAAATTGTAACATTTATATCCTGTAGGAAACAAACATACAGGTTGAAACTAAACATGTAGGTTGAAAAAAATGTTGCCAACTTTTTTTTTGCACAGAGAGTTAAATTTAAAGAGAATAGGGCCGGGCACGGTGACTCATGCCTGTAATCCTAGCACCTTAGGAAGGCAAGGTGGGCAACTGCCTGAGCTCAGGAGTTTGAGACCAGTCTGGGCAACATGGTGAAACTCTGTCTCTACTAAATATACAAAAAATTAGTCGGGTGTGGTGGTGCGTGCCTCTAATCCCAACTACTTGGGAGGCTGAGGCATGAGAATCACTTGAACCCGGGAGATGCAGATTGCAGTGAGCCAAGATCTTGCCACTGCACTCCAGCATGGGTGAGAGAGCAAGACTCTGTCTCAATAAAAAGAGAATAGAATATGAATTCCCAACTTCTTTGGCTTCATTTTCTCATCCATAAGCTACTTTTAAACAGTATTGCTACTTTAAAACTTTCCTCACAAACACTGAATAGACGAAAATAAAAGGACCAATGAAAATGCTAGCAGAAGGCAAATCACTTTCATGTTCCCAACTTTGCATTTAAAAAAATTTAAACATATAGGAAAGTTGAAATAATAGCACATGCTGAGCATCCCTAAATCTAACAATCCAAAATGCTCCAAAATTCAAAACGTTTTGATTCAAAGAAAATGCTCACTTCACCATTTTAGATTTGAAGTTTTCAGATTAGGGATGCTCAACTGGGAAGTATAATGCAAATATTTCAAAACGCAAAAAAAGTCAAAATCTAAACACTTCAGGTCCAAAACATTTCGATAAGCGATATTCAATCTGAAAATTAAAAACCCATCGTTTATTAAGTATCTCCACACAGATTCAAAAACTGAATAATACTGTTGAACTACACTAAATTCTAAACTGAATAAAAATCCACACTAAATAAAAATTAGTAACTAGAACATATAATTTCCGAGTTACGAACTGACTTGATCAAGATAATTTGTTAAGATCATGTAGCTTTTCTGTCTCTGATGTAAAAGCTAATGAAAAAGCTTAAATAAATGAACGTCTGCCTGGTTATTTTATATGAATAATGTACAATTTAAACCTTTTAAAGAATCATTTACAATTTCCTCATAGTGAATAAAAGACAAAAGTGAAATTGTCTAAGGTTATGAAATGGTTATGTTCAAAAAAGATAATAAATATATCTCTAAGTAATTCTAGGACAGTCCAGAGAGCAGTCTTAGTAGTATCTGAATTGTTACCATGGATCACAAAAAAAGTAAGATATTAGCTTGTAAGAAAATAAGTGTGCTCTTGAGAGTCAAGCCTAAAACTTATTTGATGAGAACTTGGCTCACACATTCTCAAATAAGTTTTAGACTTCCAGTAGACAAGAAAATTTCTCATATTATGAATATACAACTGTAGAATATACAAGGTAAAACCAGAAAAATGGAGATGACAGTAAAAAGACTAGAAAATGCCAGTAAACAGCCATCCCCATTACTACAAGATAAAAGGAAAGGACCAGGAAAAATCAAGATGTCCTAGAAAATTTCAGAATCATTCATTACCTCAACCCTTAAAACCGCAACCTTGGCTGTGTGCAGTAGCTCACTCCTACAATCCCAGCACTTTGGAATGCTAAGGTGGGAGGGCTGCTTGAGGTCAGGAGTTTGAGACTAGCCTGAGCATCAAAGTGAGACCCTGTCTCTACAAAAATGTTAAAAAGTTAGCTGGTGTGATGGTACACACCACCTATAATCCTAGCTGCTCAGGAGGCTGAGGCAGGAGGATAACTTGGGCCCAAGAATTTGAGGTTACAGTGAGCTATAATCATGCCACTACACTTCAGCCTGAGCCATAGAGTGAGATCGTGTCTCAAAAACAATAACAAATAAACCTGCAACCTTTAAAAAGGTAGTTGTGATCATGCTGTAAATGGTCTCCTTCCCCATCTTTACGCTCCAGTATCTTCTAGAAGATAATAGAAAGTATGTTGAAGATACTGACTCTTAAAGAACAAACAGCTTAATCACACTTAAGTATCATTCCATATAAATCTTAAGGCCAAAAGTTGACAAATTACTCTGAAGTAAGTTTTATGCTTGCAAACTACCAATGACTTAAATGTTCAAAGATAGGAAATGCACTGTTATGCAAAAAAACTCCCTGATAATACCAAAATAGATGATGTATCTTTTCTGAAATGTACCTTTTCTGAAATGAAGTGACAGTTAATCTATTTAGGTACATACTCTTGTGATCTAGTCCACAGAAATTGATTTAAGATTTTGTGGATTAAGTACCTGGGTATATCATAATGCTATATAAAATATCTGGTCCTAAAGTAAATGTACAACTACATATCAAGAAAGATTATCTATACCAGTTAATGGGGGCAGAGCAATGAACAAATAAAACGTGTGTGTGTGGTTCAGAATAAAAACAATGCACATACACTTTCTGATTGGAAAAGTATTTTTAAAGAATTTAGTGTACCATAACAAATGTCTTATTCATTTGAAAATTCTATGTATATAAATATTGAATTCACTATCATATTTATCTTTTAAGTCCTGATTAAGCAAAAGTCTATAATTAAAAATGCAGAAACAAAAAAAAAAATTTCTTTTACACATGGATATAAGAAATATCAGGATGAAACAACTAAATAAAGCAGTCTTCAGAAGGTCCACCATGATTTGCTGATTACATGCACTGATTTATTTCTTATCTCTCATCTCCCTATATTATATTGCCATCAACAACAAATTTTTAAAAAGTATCACTGCTCCTTAAGATGCCTTTATTCATTCTCCAAGACAGGAGTCAGAGGATGGGAGTCGGCAGAGGCCAAGAGAAAGAGTAGCCATTAAAAAATTTAACATCCTACCTTTATAGCTAGAAAATTCAGTCCACTCTCATTGGCCAAAGCCTTTGCTATCATTGTTTTAGAACACCCAGGTGGCCCATACAGAAGAACTCCTTTAGGTGGCTGAATACCCATTCGAATGAAAGACTCTGGATGTTTTAAGGGCCATTCCACAGCCTGTTTCAACTTCAGTTTGATATTTTCCAGTCCTCCTATATCTGACCAGGATACCTGAAAAATAGGACATTTTCCAAATGTAAGTTTTGCCAGGACAAGCAGAGAACTAAAAAAAAGATAAAACACATCATTAACAGAAGTCATGCAAAAAAGAATAGAACCATTTAAGAATCAGGAAAATCCTTTTAAAAATTCCAAAAATATCCAGAAGTAAATTAGGAGTACATAAAATGTTAACTGAGTACTGTAAAAATACTAAAAAAAAATTCTGTTTGTAAGTCTTGTAAAAATAACTGTTTAAACAATTGAACGTACCATTAAGTCTAACCTTCTAGAAAGACTTAGAAGTTACGTTTCACCTGTCTGAAAGTGGTTTGAGTCAGTCATCCTAGGTCATCTATATATCTAATTTCTTACACTTCTTTTTTAGCAAAACTACTTCCAAGTATATTTTTGTAGATATTTATGGAACACAACCACTTTTATCTTTGGCATATAAATAAAATATCTCCAAGATTTTATTTTTCTCAACTAAGAAATACCCCCAGAACAAGACAGCTCTTTACATAACATGTCTTAAGAATATATGCATACCAGAAAACATACAAAAGAAATCGAAGAATGAGACAGGAATCCACACCGTTGAAGAACGTAACAACTGTTAACTACCAATAATCATGAACAACCACAGTACAACAGAAAGGATACTAAGTACAATAACAAACAAAAAAGGCCTTTGGGAGTTCCCAAGAAGAAAAGATTATTTCTAGCTGGAAGACAAACCTGAAAGCCAACCCTGAGGCTGAGGCAGGAGAATTGCTTGAACTCATGAGGCAGAGGTTGCAGTGAGCTGAGATCGGGCCACTGCGCTACAGCCTGGGTGGCAGTGCGAGACTGCATCTCAAAAATAAAAGGATACTGTAGATGAGATTTGGAAATGCAAGAACAGGGAAATGGCTAGGTACAGGCCAAAAAATGACAGAAGGCTCAGAGGGTAAGAAGTATAGAAAGGATAAGAGAAAAAATATTGGAGGGAAGGAAATAAAGAAAAGTTGAAGTCATATGGCATAGCACCCTGAAGACCAGATGAAGGAATTCAAGATAACTCTTTGTACATACTTGGAAGTTTTTGAAGGTTTTTTAATTTAGAAGGCAATATGGTCTGATATGTCCTTCTGGAGGACTCCTCTGACAAGATTCATTAGAGAGATCAATTAATGGCATAAATATCAGAAGAAGAAAAAAGATTGAACTAGAGTAAACATGCAGATAACGAAAATTCACTGGAAAGATACTTCAGAGCTAAAGTTGCGGGTTCTGAGAAAAAGTTAAAACTACATTTGGAGGGGGTGGTGAAAAAGAAAATGGAATCAAGGTAATATTCAGGATTCAGACTTGGAAAAATAAGCAATTAGAAGTTACATGAATAGAAAGAAGGGAACATGTTTGGGAACTAAGGAACATAATACATAAGGTAGCAATGGGATTTGCGGTAGACAAATACGGACTATGTGATGACGAATTAATCCATATGAATGGAAAGATTATCTGGGGACTGAGTGATGCATTCCCTATCCTTAATTTCTTTGCAAGTACGTACAGACCCCATGTTGTAATGAATATTCCATCATAAGCATAACTCCTTCTTAATAAAAGTATTTCTTAGAGCACGTAAGCTCTCACATATAAAGTACATTACTCATATTGCTTTATAACATAAGTACAGTACAAACTTTAAAAACCAGTTTCACACTCTTCAAAATACTATAGAAATCAATTCAATTGTATTGTACAAGTAATCCATAGACCAAGCTTGTCCAACCTGCAGCCCAACACAAATTCGTAAAGTTTGTTAAAACATTGAGATTTTTTTGTATTTTTAACTCATCAGCTACAGTTCAAGTTAGTGTATTTTTTTTAGTTCAATATAATTTAAAAATGTATACAGCTGAAGGGGGGATATGATATTTTGTTAAAAGAAACAAATTTTCAATATATTTGGCCATTTTAGCTTTGTAGCAAATAACAGAAAAGGAAGTTTCTTTTCAAGATCCTCACTCCAGCATACTCAGCCAGGTGGGCGCAGTGGCTCACACCTGTAATCCCAGCACTTTGGGAGATGAAGGCAGGCGGATCACGAGGTCAGGAGATTGAGACCATCCTGGCCAACATAGTGAAACCCCGTCTCTACTAAAAATATTAAAAAATTAGCTGGGTGTGGTGGCGCACACCTGTAGTCCCAGCTACTTGGGAGGCTGAGGCAGAAGAATTGCTTGAACTCATGAGGCAGAGATTGCAGTGAGCCGAGATCACGCCACTGCACTTCAGGCTGGGTGACCGTGCAAAAATAAAATAAAACAAAATAAAGCTGGGAAAAACGTGAAAGGATTCCTTAACTCATTGTCTGCGACAAATCCAACTACCTTTTAACTCTTAACAAGTCCAAGTATAAAATACTTGAAATTTACAAGATGCTCCATTTAATGGAACAACTCAAATGCTAAAAAATTAGATCAAGTAACATGCTTTAGTATTTTTAAATGTTACTTAAAACTTAATGAGACAAGATATGCAGCACATTCTTGGTATTATAAACTACTGACGACTGCTACTTCATGGTCAAAAACATTTTAAAAAGAGAAGAAACCATACATATTGGTATACAACAACGTCTGCGGGGAATGTCATATTTTACATTTTGTTAACTGAAATTAAACATGACCAAAAAAAAAGGTCTATAAAACCAACACCCATGTCATTTTAAATGATAAGGTAGATTGTTTCCTATACAGTAAAATGAAGAAAACAAAAAAATCCCTGCAAGTTTCAAATCCTCTTGTAATAAAAAGTTCAGGTTATAGTCACTTTCACAAACAAGACATTCATAAACTATAAGGTGGAGAGGTCATATTCAGACAGGTTCTGTACTTGATGTGTTACTTGGAGATTCAATAATCAGTCTTGGATAAATCGGCTCTCTCCAAAATACAGTGATCTTGCTCTCCTGCATCACAGAGTATTCCACTACTTTAGTTCCATTTTCATTGTGATACCAAATCAAATTTCCCAGGATCTCTCAAGGCAAGTAAGGATGAAAGAATTTCTATATCTACTTTCTGGGTCTCCGGATTGTGGCTTAATATTTTTGCTTCCTTGTAGTCAGAAAAATCAGGAGAATAACTGGATGTTGGTTCCAAAAGCTTAAATGCAATCTTTTCTCCAACATTAGGGGCAGCTGCAAACAGTGGTAACAGACCATAGTACTTCTTGTGCGTCTCTACCGGATTCTGGATAACAGTAGATAAATCTTTTACCACTTCATTTAATTGCTGTTGCCTCTGGTTGTCAGTGCTTCTATTTACAACACAAGAAACAGGACGCCCTCGTCCTTGACCTCTCCCTCACATGCTCCGTCCCTTAGCTCCCTTCCAAGAAAAAAGGTTTTCTCCTCTACCCTATCCTCTTCCTAAACTAGTGGGGACAGACACATTGGGAAATGCACCAGGAGCCTGTCTACCACCTTTTGAGCCAGAACGCTTCCATCCAGCAGCACCTGCAGTCTGTGATGACAGCCCTGGGCCTGGACAACCTCTTCCTGCAAAAAGGCCTCCTGTCTTTAAGAAGCCCGCAGCACACTCCGGGGAGCTCGATGACATCAAGCACTGGTCATCTGACTCTGAATCAGAATCTGAACTAGAAGATGATGTTCCAGAGGTCTTCCCTTTGGTGGGGGTAAGGCTAAAGCCAGGTTTTGTAGCCAGTTTGTCTGCAGTTGTATTTTTGGTAGAGGGTCCTTCTTTTGATAACTCGGGTAATTTCTCTGAGGAATTTCTGGCCTCTAAAGTGACTTTGCTGGGACCATCACTATTGATTCATGATAAGACTCAGACTCCAAGGAGGAACTAGGACTCTCCTTTGACCAAATGCTTATACCACCTTTCCTTTTGGCTTTAACAAAGCTGTTTTTAGCAGACCCTTTTGGAGAACTACATCTCTGATTGGCCCAGTCTTTTACTGCCTGTACTATAGGAGACTTGGGATTCCTGGCCTTTATTTTTTTATATTCATATTTCTCCTTTTTCTTTGGTGATTTTCTTTTGGTCTCTTTGTTATCATCACCCACTGTGTCACAGGTTGCTTTGCTTTTTTTCTCTCTTTTCTTTTTCCCTGACAGTCTGATCTGTGACAGTCTGATCTGATTTGGTTCCAGATCCAAGACTTTCTCATTGTCGTTATTGTTCTCTTTCCTCTTCCAATGCTTCTTTTAATATTTGTAATCTGGTTCAGTTTCTTCATCCTCCTCTAACTTAAATGCCTGTTTCTTTGCTTTTCTAAGTGATAAATGAGCTGTCACCATTACCGATAACTATAGAATTCTCAACAACTCCTCTCTAATTTAACTCTGAGGCAGTCATTGTCTCTCACCAGGTGTGCACTCACAGTGGGGACAGGAGTCCCCGCTCCGGGTAAAGGCCCCAGTACTGAAGCCAAAGCTCTGGTGAATGAGAGTACTTAGATCTATGATGACTCGGCATCTGTTCAAGTCGACCAGAAGCAAGAAGGCAGTACACTATTGGGTAGCTGGTGGTAGGTAATCAAATAGAAATCATACCCTTGGCTCAGGGGCTGCCATCCTGCTCGGTGCTCATGTTAGTATATTTTATGTGTGGCCAAAGACAATAATTCTTCCAACGTGGACAAGAGAAGCCAAAAGACTGGACACCTCTGAGCAAGAGACATGGTATCAAATTTCGAACTACATCAGAAGATTTAGAACTTGGTCTATAAGTTTAACAGTTTCACGTGAAACAATTTCACTATTTTTCCCAATGTTTCTTATCTAGTCTAAATGTAATGCACTTGTACTTGGAAGAGAACTGCTCCTTGGGGGCACAAGTAAGAGCTACATAAGCCCTCAATCTTTCTCAATGACCCAACACTTTCCACATGTAAAACTGAATTTATATGACTATCAAGGCCTGTGTGGAAAAGGTAAATAATTTATTAAAATGTGCAACTCTCAAGATATTTCTACATGCCAACTCTCCTAGAGA